TGTGAGTCCGGCTTTCATTGATATCCACACCCAGCCACACCCACCCACCCACACCCACACCCACACCCACACCCACACCCACACCTACACCCTATAATTAAATTCTGTTCTTTTGAAAATGATTGAAAACGAGATAACATATGTGAAGAAAATATATGCAGACGTATGAAAAAGTAATGCTTATTACAACAAAGTTTCATGAGAAAGTGTAGAACTGTATGTGCATATAAAATAGATCTTACTTTTGAGTTAAATTGTACAGTGAACTTTTGCATTCTTTAGGTGTCTGCTTCTTTTTTTTTTTGATAAAATATTTTGTGTACACATTTTTATTACATTTTTCAATGTTACTTTTGAAATGATTTTTGATCGATGTACTATCATTGTATGTATGTTTTTTTCTTCATTTTTGTTAACTATAAAATTCGAATTTGTTTTCGTTCGTCATCAACAGAATACTTTTTTTTGAATAAACTTCTACAATGATTTATACTCATTAATATTGTCTGTTTCATTAATTTCTCACACTTATTTAGGCCTAATTGAAATGGTTCGTATAAAAAATAATAATAAGAAAAGCATTTATGATTTAGATAATAATCAACAAGATATATACAATATACTAATGGAAGAAACAAGAAAGATGAATGAAACAACAAGATTGAACAATAATAATCAATTGCTGATAAATGTGTAGATTATTTGAAAATTTATTACTTGTTTTCTTCTACATTGTATCAAACATATAAAACTTTTTAGTCGATTGGGATGAGTGCTAAAAAAATGCTTATCAAATAATAGGATTTTGATAAGAGATCTGTATAATTTGTGTGTAAGTTTCATAGTTAATCTTATCATTAAAAAGCTTCAGCTATAAATGCTAATACAGTTATAAAACACGTATGATAACACTATAATATCAGTAGCAGTGCTAAATGGCTTTTATTTGGAAGAAAAAAAAAAGAATATGGTCTATTGTTTCGAATAATTATTGCTGAAGTTATTGTTCGATTTTGTTCGTTATAAAAGATCTACATTTAAAAAGAAATGGTGACAATTGTTGTTTTATATTATTGATTTTAAATCAGGTATAGCACACTTACATAACTTTTATAAGTCTCGTATTTTTTCGCATAATACGCGACAAAGAATATTTTTTGTTTTGAACGGATACAAGGTAATACAAAAAAAAACCTGTTAAAAACCTCACATTATAACAAAAGGAAAATAATTATTGAACAGAAAAAGAGAACATATCAAGACATATAAACATACACTCTAATGACAATATCAACGTCAACTAGTTGATTTATAAAAGAACAAACATGATGTAACGTCCCTAAGGCGTGCATACAATTCTTCAATCTTTTTTTGATATTAATTTTCTTGCAGGTAATATGTGTTCTTCTTATGAATCTTTTTCACCAAGACATACAGTACGAACAATAATATCAGTTACAGCATATGGATCACAATTCGATGCTGGACGACGATCTTCTAAATAGCCACATTTTTCTTCACTAACCTGGCGAGATATTCGAATTGATGCACCACGATTGGCAATACCAGCTTTAAA